GGTAGGTTGAAGACATACTTTATACCATGAGCTCCAACCACCAAGACCAGCATTTATGTTTCTAAATGAAGTGAACATGAAGAAGAACGGCTGAGGCTGTAATGGAGACACAGAGTGACTCAGTGAGATTCTCCAACAATAGAGAGAAGAGTCAGTGTGAATCAAAAGGAGGGAGAGAGACAGAAACAGATGGTGTGCAGCAGAGAGTGTGAATAAACATGAACACTGTTTCATTCACACTCTCTGCAATCCAATGGGTTTTTCCCATTGGATTGAGGATTACTGCAGAAAATATGATCTTTGGCAAGCAAACGTTTATGATACTTACAGCAGGATAATCTGAACATATTAAAAACACTTATATTAACAAGCTAATGTTGGGCTATAAAGGAACTACAGCACGGTCACATGACTTCACGTCACCACTGCTAAGCTAAAGGAAGCTAATGTTGGGCTATAAAGGAATTACAGCACGGTCACATGACTTCACGTCACCACCGCTAAGCTAAAGGTGACTAATGTTGGGCTATAAAGGAACTACAGCATGGTCACATGACTTCACGTTACCACCGCTAAGCTAAAGGTGACTAATGCTGGGCTATAAAGGAACTACAGCACGGTCACATGACTTCACGTCACCACCGCTAAGCTAAAGGTGACTAATGTTGGGCTATAAAGGAACTACAGCATGGTCACATGACTTCACGTCACCACCGCTAACCTAAAGGTGGCTAATGTAGGGCTATAAAGGAACTATAGCACGGTCACATGACTTCACGTCACCACCGCTAAGCTAAAGGTGACTAATGTTGGGCTATAAAGGAACTATAGCACGGTCACATGACTTCACGTCACCACCGCTAAGCTAAAGGTGACTAATGTTGGGCTATAAAGGAACTATAGCACGGTCACATGACTTCACGTCACCACCGCTAACCTAAAGGTGGCTAATGTAGGGCTATAAAGGAACTATAGCACGGTCACATGACTTCACGTCACCACCGCTAACCTAAAGGTGGCTAATGCAGGGCTATAAAGGAACTACAGCACGGTCACATGACTTCACGTCACCACCACTAAGCTAAAGGTGGCTAACGTTGGGCTATAAAGGAACTACAGCACGGTCACATGACTTCACGTCACCACCACTAAGCTAAAGGTGACTAATGTTGGGCTATAAAGGAACTACAGCATGGTCACATGACTTCACGTCACCACTAAGCTAAAGGTGGCTAATGTTGAGCGTAATGACGTTTAGTCGTCTCGTTTAGACACTTGTTAGAATCCACCATTTTTGTATTCACCAGTGGGGTATTTACTGACACATGGAGAACACAACTTTTAAATCTCTTCAGCTTGTGTTAACCACAGACCTTATTTCAGGCAATACTGAAATACTGAATACTGAAATCGTCATCTAAAAACTATTTTATCAATATATTTTGTATATTAAAGCATCATCAGCTCAAACAACATGTTTAATTCCTCTTTAAAATTAGTGTACTAGTGTAAACATCATCTAGATATTTCATTTTTGGACTTAGTCTTTTTCATTTGTCTTAGAACAACTCAACAGGAACATGAGAAACAACATGAACTGGAAAGCAAGCATCCACCCACTATATCCCCGAGAGTCCTCCTGCCTCCACACATCCAGAGAGAAAGCAGATATATTACAAAACCAACAAAACGCCAACAGGCAAAACAAAAAGTGAGAGAAATAAACAAATGACCTGGAAAAAACCAGGCAGGAAATAACATATACAAGAAAAATGATCTGGGTACGTCAGAGAATGTATTTAATTTAAATAGAAACAGCTAATCAGACTACAACCACATTAATCATATATAAAGCCATAGCAGAAATAGAATTGTGTAATTGGTAATCCGTCACAACCTGCAGGAAGTCCGTGCTATAATAGAACCATATTAACTACAATATTAAATATGCAAGTTAGAATTAGCGTCCTCACATCATTTACACATCCTTCAACATCCGAGGCGGGTCGGTCACTTTCAAAGAGAGGAAATATGAGATGGAGCCGTGTAGCCTTTCTGTGCCTTTCAGTCTGCGCTGAGGGAATAATTTATCAGCTCGAAGTCTCATGAATAAGTAATGTGGTGTGAGAGTTAGCAGCTCATCATTCATTCATTCACCAAGTTTGTGTCCTGTGTTCGGTGACTTTTTGCGACGTGATGTGTCGTTGTGTACAGCATTGTTTTTACTCTGGATACACACCTTTTTCTGCTGTGTGTGTGTGTGTGTGTGTGTGTGTGTGTGTGTGTGTGTGTGAGAGAGAGTATATGTTACTATGAGCTGGCTGTGCAGAAACAAAGAACTAAGGGTGTTGTTCAGTTAAGTCTCATTTCTCTTTAAGTTATTTTGTCTTTATTGAACAAGTAAAAGAAAGTGAAAAATGTGGCTTTCTTGTACATTTTTCTTTGACTTATCCTATTAATATGAATTGTACTGGCTGTTTAACCACAAGAAACATTTTAA